ACACACACACACACACACACACACACACTCCAGTGACCCCCCATCTTAAAACGTAACGTGCAGATCAAGATATTAAATTATATCCAGGCCTATCAAAAATCTAGGCCAGAGCCGCCGAGGCGCAGTAACCTCTAGCAGCGCCAAGCTTGTCATGTGACGTCACCACGGCCGTGGGTTTCACCAGTCTGGTGTCACTGTGACATGAGTCACCACCCCTCTCCATCCCATGCCACTCGGCTTATTATTGCATTGTGCTAAGCCAATTGCTCTATATTATAAAAAAGAACCTCGGTAAATGTAAATAGAAAAAGGTCCAAACCCACTTTAGACTATATTATTAAACTCCGGCACTATTTAGAACTGTTTTGAGTGCTGAGAAGTGAGAAGCGTTTTATGAGGGTGCGCATGGCGCATGCGCATTACGCAATATTATTGGGGAAGGAAAACGGGAAATGAAAATACCCAGCTCGTATTTTTATAAGCCCAACAGAGCAGTGTTCAAACCTGCTTAATGTCAAATGTTTCAAAAACGATACATTTGCGAAAGTTTTGAGTTACATTTCCAAAATCTGTAGGCAAAAATACACGGAAAAGACATGAAATCAGACATGTAACGGGATTTGGACCTTTTCTATAATTTAAAATAATACCACAACCTCGATTCACTCGGGATTTGGGCAGCTGCCCAACTTTTAAAAAATAATTTGGCCATTTCTAGACTAGATCTATAATCTATCTTGATCTAGACTAGACCTAGATACTAAATATCTAGCCTACATGTCTACCAAGTCATTTTCAATCAAAATAGTCAATCTTACACATTAGTTTAGAATCTATACGCACTTGCAAAATCAATACAAATGTGCAATCTTTTCAACAATTAAAATACAATTCAAACAAATATTTATTATTATATAACGCAAAGGGAAATGTAGGCCTCTTTTTCCAATTTAGTAACATGAATTACTGCTGTACTGTAGGGCCTACAGTCTACAGTAAAATAAAATCTAGATCTAGATCTAGACATCAACTTACCAGCAATTGAAAGTCCCGCTAAGCTGTCGTACGGTCAATGCTCTGATAAAAGCATGTCATGTATGCACGAGAGTACCTATCGCACGAGAGTAGCCTACCTATCGAACACACATAAATGAGAATTATGGTAGCATCCTTCCTATTCGTATTCTCATATTCTGCTGTGGGCGCGGGTTACCGGTCCAAGCTCATTTGAATTGTAAGGCGCTAAGTAAGGAAAGGGGGTTACTTTACAGTTGGTTGTAAGCTCCTTGAACTCCGGTCCCTGACTGGCTCTGCTGCATGTCTGTGTCTGAGCGGGCGCGAGGCACACTCGCTGCGTGTCACTGTCACCTGCCCCGCCGCGCTGTGGGGTGAGCAACTGACGGGTCTGTCGTGCTATTTTTAGGTACTGAGTGCGTAATCCATTCATTATACTTATACATGATGTAATAATATCTTGTTTGCAATAGATACTGTGGTGCATTGCTTGGTAGTGTGTGTGTGCATTAATTGAAGAGAGTAGAAAAGTCTTTTTAGAGCACACAACAGAGACCGTGTTGTTGGTTGAGGAGAGCAGCGGTTCCCACAAATTTTTCAAACAAAAACAAAAAAAAAGGACTTTCGAAGGACCCGGTTTGGTAATACGTAGAAGCGGATTCCAATGTCTTTTTGTCGCAAGTGTGTTTTGTCAAGTGCATGCAATTTCCATGATCTTATTTGGACAAATATTGCCAAATGAGGACTGGGAATCCAGGAATAAACCGACCCGTTACTTTCGCAGAAACGTTTTTTTCCCCGCGCTCGGTTACCTCACCAGACGTAAACAACCGGTTGGTCAGGATCGTCGGAAACTGGAGGCTGAAATATTGAGCAACTCAGTCGTCCTGGTCGGAAACACATGAACTATCAACAGGTTGAGAATATCATTGTTGTAGTGATGACAGTTGACAAAGTTTGTTTATATGTGGAGATTTTGTGAGAAAACACGACAGTTCCCTGTGTTCAGTTTACGAGAAATCCCACCAGGGGTTCAATGCCCTTGACCTAGTAAACATGCAGTGCCGCGCGGCGCGGAGAGGCAAGTGAGTAATGATGGGGCCACGTGACTGCAGCAAGCAGAGCAGGCAAACCAGAGGGACTGTTCTTTACAATACCAATTTGAACGTGGAGAATTTTAAAAAAACTTAAGTTACGACTGCAGTGTTAAAGGGCTGTAATTATGACTGTCATCAATACTTAGATCTAAATACTTAAATGAAATTGTGTCAAACTGGTTTCTTGTACGCTAAGGCCTGGATATAATTTAATATCTTGATCTGAACGTTACGTTTTAACCATAAGGGTGAGGCATGACAAATGTAAAGACCGGTTGGAAAGAGATGCCGTGTGTGTGTGTGTGTGTGTGTGTGTGTGTGTGTGTGTGTGTGTGTGTGTGTGTAG